ACGTTGCAAAAAAAACAAAATATATAAAAAAATTATAAACTTCCCGCTCGTAGCGCGGATCAACAACTAGTATATTATATATGAGGGAGAGTGTGTGAATTGAGAGAGAACGAGACATAGACGACATGAACATCAGTGAGTTTCATATCCATACATAAAACAACAACATCGTTTCCATCATTAAAAGTTTTTGATTTTTGGTAAACAAAAAAATAACCTTAAATGTGTAAGTTAAAAATTCTAGATTCTTTTGATTGAACTAGCTAGATTGCATAACTAATTCCATTTTGTAGAATCAAAATGGTGGGTGTCGATACCGACACTACTCATCAGTTCGGGTTTTCAAAAGCGAGTGTCGACTGACACCAGGCGGGTGTCGATCGACACCATTTATCAGCAGCGGCTGAGCCCTTGATTAATGCTTGTTTTTGTGTGTTGATATTACTTGATTATGATTGATACTGCTTGTGTGTACAGCCCAATAGTTGGGATGAGTGCCTCTCTAAGTATCTCTGAAAATAGTTATGCATCTCTTTTTGTGATGTAGGTAAAGGCAATGTGTGATCATGGAATCAAGGCGACGAGAGAAGAATGATCTAGGGGCTTGCTGGTTGTGTTGTGTTTTCACAGTATTGCATTGTTAGGTTGTTAGTCTGGAATTTAGAAACATGTTAGGATGTTGTTCTATTTCTCGATGATGACTGGTTTGGATATTGGTATTATGCTGGTTTTGATGCAATTGTTTTATTTGAATTGTTCATTGAAGTTTCCGCTCACTGTTAATGGTTGAATTGCTTTAATTTGGTTATTGTTCGGTTAATTGGTTTAAATGTGTTTAATCGATTTGAAATGGTTTGATATGGTTTAGTTGTTTAATTTTGTTTAGTCTCGTTTAACTAGTTTAAATTAATTGAGTTAATCTAGTCTGCATGAGTTAAAAAAAATGTTGGATCGGGTCTTTTCAGTAGGAGTGAAAGAGAAAATAGTGGTTGCAATGTTACGATTTATTAGAATTTAATCAAAATGATTTGATTATGACATCTCCTATATATGTATTAGAATATTCTAGTAATTCTTGATTTTGATTTTGATTTTTATCGTTCTCTTAACTCAAAAATTACAACAAATGAAAAAGGACTTTAGTAAGTAACAAGAATTTTATACTGAATAACGATAAATATAATGACCCAAAAAACAACATGTCGTAAATCCGATAACGGAGCAATTAACAGCTGTTAGTTAGGCGTTAATCTTAGTATCATCTCGGACTGACCTAATACCATCTCTGAGATGATACAAAGATTAACGCCTAACTAACACCTGTTAATTGCTCTGTAATCGAACTTACATGTAGTTTTTGGATTGGTCAACTTTGTTTCATGATTTAAACGGTAAGTCAATGTCTATGTATGATTCAATGGCCACCCTGGAAGTTGATGGTTTAATTGGCCGAAATGACTTGGTTCATGTATTTAATGACATTTTTCCCGTAAAACTAACTAGACATTTTCTTAAAATTTTGTTAAATATTACCAGAATTTCATTAGAAATAAGTGGTTTTAATATTCTCATTAAGGGTAGAATATTCAAATCAAATCATTTAGCAAAAATAAATCGAGAGAATATTTTTAATATATTCATAAAACCAATTAAATCTATTTTATGTATGAATAAATAAAAAATACTGACTATTATTTGTTAAAATATCACCAAGGTCTTAATTGGATTAAAAAATTTAATATTGTATTCAACTAAACATTTTCAATAATTTGTGTTGAAATGAAAAATCATGTCGATTCGGTCAAAAATTCTGAATAATCTTTTTTAATCCAGTATTAGTAATAATAATTTTGAAATTAACATTAAAATGCACTGTTATAGGAAACAAATCAAGCGTTGACTAAAAGAAAAGAAAAAAAAACAAATCAAGCATAATTTTTATTGGCTTTAAGGTGTGATATAGAATATTTTCTTAGTTAAACGGACTTAGATTCAAATCTCATGCTTTTATTATATATCATAACAAATAATCTAATGCATGCTTTCCAAAATTTATAGAAGATTTGGGAAGATATTATAACAAATCATAAAAACTTCCCTAATCTCACTGATAATATCAAAATCATATAAAAACTCATTAGAAGTATTACTGAAATCATTCAAAATATAGATTAGAATATTTGATCCATTTTTTCAATTATGAAATCTACTACATTGCTTATTGTTTTATGTTTTCTCATGTTCTTCGCCATGAGTCATGCCAAAGGTAAATTTTTTTTTTCTTTTCCTTTTGATTAAATAATCGCGTAGTATGAAAAAATTGATCATAACTAAAAGTAAAAATCGTTGTCACTACCTATTTTATTTTACGTAATTTGTTACATAATAAGTGTCTTTATCTAATAAGTATTAACCAAAATTCAACATTTTTGTCATTTGATATTAAAATAGTTGAGATCAACAAAAATCCGGAGAGCATAGTTCAATTCTATAATGGATATTGTGTTGATTCCCCAACATGCAAACAAGCTATTGGAAGGAAAGATTATCCTCGTTGTCAGTGTGTTGATGTTGCGTTTCCTCGTGGTCATTACTGTTATTGCTTTCGTCATTAACTTTTGTTCACGATATCTAAGATGGGTGTATGTGAGAGATTATTAATAATTTTAATGAAAATAAAAAATTCTCTATTACATGAATTTTAGAAACATTTCTAAAAACTAAATAAATTATTTAAAATTATACAGCAAAATATACCATGGAATATTACATGATTTTCTAATGTTTTAAATTTAAATAGAGATAATTATATTCTATGCCATGTACAATGATTTTTATTTTATGCAATGCCATTTGTTCCCCCACCTTCTCCCACCTACCATAAATCATAGATTAAAAGACATTTTTGCCCCCATCTTAATTAATCTGCAAAACCTAATATCCCTGAAACGACATAAAGTGTTTTTTGTTCAAAGAACATGACCTTTCGAAGTCTTCCTCTCCAACATTTTTTTTCTCAGCCCTAGCATAATCCGATGGACAAATAATTAAACCTCACTGACTTTTTCGTAAGGAAAATCCTCCAGCCAAGTGCTATCCAAGAGCCATATTTATTTCCTGAATTCATGGCTGACCCCAATCCTTCTACTACCGCCACCGATGAACTCAGACCAAAAACGGGGGAGGATAACTAAATGCTTTCTCGGAAGTTTGGATGTGGTAATAATGTTATTTAGTGTTAAACAACCCACAAATAATGATGGACAAGGCTTGTATCTATCTCGTCCGTCGTAATTAAGCTGCAAACCTCGAAAATATGTTCTTCTCCTTTCTCCAGCATCCACCACTTCTCTCCTGCTACTTGTCCTCCATTAACATCCACCCAAATATGTTTTTGCTTTTCGTTCTTATTTCTAATCACCCACAATCTCTCTACTACTTGTCCTCCGTTAACACCCACCCAGATCTGGTTTACAATTTCTCCTTTTTGTTTTACTTTGTCTCTCTAATCACCCACTTAATCAATTATCCTCTAGATATTAGGCTACATCATAGCATTTATTGCCACTCTAACTAGCCCCAAAAAACGTCCCATCTCATACGAATTTTCAAACATAAGCGTGAACTTTGTAGAAGTTTAACGAGGGAAAAATTGTCTTTACGCTTTTTAATTTAAAAACACATTATGAAACTCTTTTACAAAGTGGCAGTTTCACTATTTTTAGTTTCCAAAAGAGTATAACCAACATCTTTCTTGTGAAGCATAAAAGTGTCTTACTACTACCTGAAACCCTAGCCGCCACCGTCCCCCTAGATCCTTCCATCTGAGATTTGCTGCCTCTCTGCCGCCTAAGGCTTTCGCCAGCGGTGTGAGAGGGTGTGAGAGGGCTCTGCTTTTCCTTTTTAGCTTTTGTTTTTGGTTTTTGTAGTAGGTTGGCTCGATCTCTTCTTCCCCGACCGTGCTGAGGAGTGGTTCACCATGGAGAGAGATCTCGGCTCGCTTCTCCTCAATGAATCTGATGGCGAGTTTCGAAGCTGCTCCGTGCGGTCTTCTACGCAGCTCAAGGTGACGGATCTGGATAGTTGGGATGCAATCTTCTGCTTCCCCCGTCTCTTCCGCCGGAGATCCCAAATGGTCGGGTTTAAGTGGTAGAGTTGAGTCTTAGAGTCCACCGATTGTTGGGGAAGGTTATGGGTCTGACGGTGGCCGAGATTTGAGGCTGTCCTCAAAGCCGGCTCTCTCGAAAGCTTCCTCAGTTTTCTGGTTCAGTCCGACTTGAGTGCGAGTCAACAAGGCAGCTGCGATGTGGCCAATCCGAAAATGCACTGTGAGGTGAGGATATACTAATATGTGCTCCACTTCCTTATCTCAGGCGATTAGTATTCTGGTTTTGCTTGGTTATTCTGGAGAAGTCTCTGGTCATGCTGGTTTGCTTCGCATCTCTTGTTGGATGTGTTGTCCGTTTTTGGTATTTAAGACCAAAATAACGAAAGCTAGGGAAACCAAGATCTTCTATGATGCGCCTTTGGGTGGTGAAGCTATTGGGACAAGTTTTACACTCCGATCATGAGGGCCTAATAGTTTGGGATTGCTCTGTACTTCAGCATAGGTGATGGTGTTCTCTGTGTAAGTAGTTGTTTTCGTGTCATAGGTTTAATTTAGGTGGTTTAAGAGATGATTTCATTTTGAGTTGTGGAGTGTTTTCTATCTCATGGTGGTTTAAAAATGCAATGGTTACTCGATCAGGTAGCGTTGAATCCGCTAGTATTTCAGGGTGATACTAGATCGAACCATTGCATTTGGTCCAATTCTATAGAGGTGAATGTTATCTACCTCGAATTTGGATATATTTTTTTGGATAATAAATAGTTGAAGTTGAGAAAAAAAAAAAAATATAACCAACAAAATTTCCATTTAAATAAATATATTACCCATTTATACTTGTTGAACACACAATTTATAATTTTGAAAACCCCATTTCTACCCTTAACCCTTACATATTAAAATACAAAAAAAAAAAAACACACACAAACTGAAAAAAGAAAAATATTCCCTTGCCAGAGTCAAGATTAACTTTGTGGCACGCAGCCCTAGGCTTTGTTTTCGTTTCGTCTCGTCTCCACACGCCTCCAACGTCAGATTCATCATCATCATCATCAACCTCTCTCCATGATCATCGCTCCCGATTGATTGATCAATCAAACAATCACCTTCTCTTATCATCATCCTTATCTTCTCTGTCAGTATCTGAATCTGCATCTGGAAGCGTGATTTCGTCATCATGTATATAACTGCTTCTTCTTCCGCTACTTCCTCGATCCTTCGCGCTGCTTCTTCTCGCTCTTCTTCTCTCCTATCTCTCCGATCGTTACTCTCGCCGTCCGTCTCACCGTCGTCGTCTATCATCGCTCGTAGATCTTTTGGTTCCATTTCACCTGCGTTCCGTCGCTGGAGCCATTGTTTTCACTCGAAACCGTCTCCGATTAGTCTTACCTCTCAGATCAGAGCTGTTTCTCCTGTTTTAGATCGTCTTCAGAGAACCTTCTCTTCCATGGGTATGTATTTCTCTTCGAATCGGTTTGGATCTAGCTTTGATTTTCCGATCTGTAGTCACTGTTAGTGTACTGATTTATCGTTTTCTTTTGTTTTTGTGTTTGTTCAGCTTCAGAGCATCCGTTTAAGGGGATCTTCACTGCTCTTCCTAAGCCTGGTGGTGGTGAATTCGGAAAGTTCTATAGCTTGCCTGCACTAAATGATCCACGGATTGGTAATGATTTTTTTTGTTTAATATCTCTGAGGAATACGTTACAAAAAGGATCAAAATCTAAGAGAAGTGCTTTATTTGTGTTATGTTTGTAGATAAGCTGCCTTACTCAATCAGGATTCTTCTTGAATCTGCCATTCGTAATTGTGATAACTTCCAAGTAACTAAGGAAGATGTTGAGAAGATTATTGACTGGGAAAAGACATCTCCTAAACAAGTCGAGATTCCGTTTAAACCGGCTCGTGTTCTTCTGCAGGTAAACGGTTGGTGTTAATCTAGAGGATGCCAGATGATTATTTGTTTTCATGCTCCTAACGATTTTTTTTGTTCTGTGGCAGGACTTTACTGGAGTCCCAGCTGTTGTTGACCTTGCTTGTATGCGTGATGCCATGAACAAGCTAGGCAGTGATTCCAACAAAATCAATCCCTTGGTACATTTTTTAATTCACATATTGAATCATTGATACGATGCTATGTGTTTAGCTTAGGGTTCTTCTAGATTTCTTATGTGTACCGTGTCTCCCAGGTTCCGGTGGATCTTGTAATTGACCACTCAGTTCAAGTTGATGTTGCTCGATCTGAAAATGCAGTGCAAGCAAACATGGAGCTTGAGTTCCAGAGGAACAAGGAGAGGTTTGCTTTCCTTAAATGGGGTTCTACTGCGTTCCAGAACATGCTTGTTGTGCCTCCTGGTTCTGGTATTGTGCATCAGGTAATTTTTTGGCAATACGCATGTCAATTGTTTGTTTCTAAACTTGTTCTGACATTGATTTATATCTTTTTCAACCACATGATTCCAGTGTATTGAAATGTTGCTTTCATTTAGTATCTTTTTTGGTCTGACCTAAAGTTTGTATTTGGATTTTTCATTCATTTTGTCTCAATTTAACCCCACTTTGATAATTCAGGTCAATTTGGAATATCTTGGAAGAGTTGTGTTCAATACCAAAGGCCTTCTCTACCCAGACAGTGTGGTCGGAACTGATTCACATACCACTATGATTGATGGTTTGGGAGTTGCTGGATGGGGAGTTGGAGGCATTGAAGCTGAGGCAACAATGCTTGGCCAGGTAAACTAGTCTGATAATCAACACTACCCATATCCTATGTTGGTGAATCTAGATACTACGTTTCTGAATATAGATTAGATCACTATATTTTATAACTCTTCTGTTCCAATTTAGTGAGGTTGGGAATCTTTCTTATACTGCAAACTGTTTTTGTTTTGACAGCCCATGAGTATGGTATTGCCTGGAGTTGTTGGATTCAAACTGTCCGGAAAAATGCGTAATGGTGTAACAGCTACTGATTTGGTTCTAACCGTAACTCAAATGCTGAGGAAGCATGGTGTTGTTGGAAAGTTTGTTGAGTTTTATGGTAATTCATATCCTTCTGAGCTCTTGTGTTTTGATCCTTTAATAGACATGTGTTTGTGGAGCATTATAAAGCCTACCATTTTCTTCTTAGGGGATGGTATGAGTGGGCTCTCCCTAGCTGACAGGGCTACAATTGCCAATATGTCTCCTGAGTATGGTGCAACCATGGGCTTCTTCCCTGTGGATCATGTTACTCTACAGTATCTCAAATTGACAGGACGAACTGATGAGACGGTGAGTATTTGACTATAATCTTCCTTCTATATATAAAGATATATCCAAATATCTGGTCTGAGACAATACTTTCATGGCAGGTGGACATGATTGAAGCATATCTTCGGGCAAACAATATGTTTGTTGACTACAATGAGGTAAATCAGCTTTATCCTTTATATTTTTGGTTTTAAGATTTCTCATCTCCTTTCAGGTTTTAATTTGACTTTGCTTTGTGAATAAATTTCAGCCTCAGCAAGACCGAGTTTACTCGTCATATCTAGAACTGAACCTGGATAATGTTGAACCATGCATTTCTGGACCAAAGAGGTATGGGTTCTGTTGATTTTTGTAATCACGAAGTTTATTGTCTAGTTAATTGATCATGACCATATTATTGATATTCTTTTCAGGCCACACGATCGTGTTACTTTGAAGGACATGAAAGCTGACTGGCATTCATGTCTTGACAGTAAAGTTGGGTTTAAGGTACGTAACTAGGTGTTTCATTTTGTGGAGGTCTAATTTCTTAAGCATTTGCTTGTTCTATAGACTAGCTGGCTGTTGATGCACAGTTTGGGTACCATTGTTTATTTCTGAATGGTACTCTACATTCTTTACAGGGTTTTGCTATACCTAAAGAGGCACACGAAAAAGTGGCTAAATTTTCGTTCAATGGTGAACCAGCGGAGATTAAACATGGAAGTGTGGTGATTGCTGCAATCACAAGTTGTACTAATACATCCAATCCCAGCGTCATGCTTGGTGCTGGTCTTGTTGCGAAGAAGGCTTCTGACCTTGGCCTACAGGTTAGTTCTACAATATCAAACTAGAAATTGATCTGATTCTTTGACGTTTCCTGATATTTAATCAAAAATTTGCCTCTCCAGGTTAAGCCTTGGGTAAAGACAAGTCTTGCGCCAGGCTCAGGAGTTGTTACGAAATACCTGTTAAAGAGGTATGTTGTAGATTTCAGTTTCTTTGTTGTTAAAGGCTAATTCCTTTTTTTGTGCGGGAAATTTCAAGTGTATATTATACTCCATGCAGTGGACTGCAAGAATATTTGAATCACCAGGGTTTCAATATTGTCGGCTACGGTTGCACTACCTGCATTGGGAATTCTGGAGAAATTAATGAATCAGTGGGAGCTGCTATTACTGAAAATGGTATTATTGAGATTCACAACTACACTTACTTTGGACCTTCTTATATGATTAGTATATATATGTGGCTTGTATGGTGTTATTGATTCAAAATTTATTGTGCTTGTTGTTAGATATTGTGGCGGCTGCTGTGCTTTCTGGGAACAGGAACTTTGAGGGGCGTGTTCATCCACTAACAAGAGCCAACTACCTTGCATCTCCTCCGTTGGTGGTTGCCTATGCTCTTGCTGGCACGGTAAGAAATTTTAAAATCTTGTCAAAGTTCAACCTACACCTTTCTATGTGATAATGACATAAAACATCATCATTTGGTAATTTAACATTCCTCAATTATTTTCCAGGTTAACATCGATTTTGAAACAGAGCCTATTGGCACTGGAAAGAATGGCAAGGATGTCTTCCTAAGGGATATCTGGCCAACCACTGAGGAAATTGCTGAGGTATATAGAACTTAAATGCAAAAAACAAATTTACTTCTGTTACACAAATATTAGATGAGTCTTTCTGCGTATTGATCACTTGTACACACAAAATTAAATTTGTCTTTCTGGGTATGGATCAGGTTGTTCAATCTAGTGTTTTGCCTGACATGTTCCGAGCAACGTATGAGTCAATCACCAAGGGTAACCCCATGTGGAATAAGCTGTCTGTTCCTGAAGATACCCTCTACTCCTGGGATCCCAACTCAACTTACATTCACGAGCCTCCGTACTTTAAAGACATGACCATGGATCCTCCAGGGCCACACCATGTGAAAGATGCTTACTGTTTGCTCAACTTTGGAGACAGTATCACCACCGATCACATCTCTCCAGCTGGGAACATCCAAAAGGACAGTCCCGCTGCAAAGTTTCTCCTCGAGCGTGGCGTTGACCGTAAGGACTTCAACTCATATGGAAGTCGCCGTGGGAATGATGAAATAATGGCCAGAGGCACTTTTGCTAATATCCGTATCGTTAACAAGCTCATGAATGGTGAAGTTGGCCCCAAGACAGTTCACATTCCATCTGGAGAGAAGCTCTCAGTCTTCGACGCAGCCATGGTATGTATTATTCTAACTAAATTTTGTATTACTAACTGTATGTTGATCACGTATAACATATCCTTACCCTAATGTCACATGTATCAGAAATACAAGTCATCTGGTGTAGACACAATTATTCTCGCTGGAGCTGAGTATGGAAGCGGTAGCTCCCGTGATTGGGCTGCCAAGGGACCCATGCTACAGGTTTAAAGCCGCTTCTCTTGTTTTTCTCGCTTAAACCTGTCTTATTGTTTTTTCTAAAACAAAAAATTTGGGATTTGTCAGGGTGTCAAAGCAGTGATTGCAAAGAGTTTTGAGAGAATTCACCGAAGCAACTTGGTGGGAATGGGAATCATCCCGCTGTGCTTTAAATCCGGGGAAGATGCAGATACCCTTGGATTGACTGGTCACGAACGCTTCACGATCCATCTCCCAACAGATATCTCAGAGATAAGACCTGGCCAAGATGTTACTGTCACTACCGACAACGGAAAATCCTTCACTTGCACAGTCCGCTTCGACACCGAGGTAAAAATACTTCCATCTTCAAAAACGTTTTTTGTGGAGCAAAAAAAAGCATAATACAGTGTGAAACGAACTCGGCTAATAATGGTAAACATATACGCAGGTGGAATTGGCTTACTTCAACCATGGAGGCATTCTTCCATACGTGATCAGAAACTTGAGCAAGCAATAGTGAAAAGGAAAACAACGAAAATTCATGGAGCATAAATAAAAGAGAGTTTTCTTTTTAACTGTTGAAAACTGTCATTTTTAAGAAAGGCAGATAAAGTCTGTCTAGGATTAGAGTTGAAAAAGATGAGTGATCTCATTGCAAGTATGAGTTTTGTTTTCTAAGGTTTCAGGGGTTACCATTATTACACGTTTGGGCTCCCAATGTTTCGCAACTTTTGCTAGCGCTGAATATTATTGTTTCTATAAAGGAATAAAAGCGAATCCCTTTTGAAAGGCCTTTAGTAGTTTAAAATACATTTAACTTAGTCAGAAAAATACGCATACTTATTTGTACATGTTAAAAAATATGTAAACTATTTTGGTTTTCCAATTTTCCACATATCATGGTCACGATTTTCAACGAAACTATCACAATATTAAACATTATTACTATTACAATTTCGGGAATAAATTTCGTTTTTGTCGTAGTCATAACCATAACAATATATCTCTTTTTCGATATTTTAGCTTCATCTTCAATCTTTGTTTTCTCACAGTTAAGCTATTGTTATGATTAGAAATTAGAAAAAACGGAAAATAGGCATACGATGTTTATGATTGTGTTAGTTTCGTTGAAAATCGTGACCATAATATGTGAAAAACTAGAAAATGGAGATAGTTCGTATATTTTTTTTATCATCTATAAATTAGTTTACGTATTTTTCTAGCAACGAGAAAAGTTTATGTATTTTTCTGACAAATCTTAAATAAGTCACGTTTTTTTGGGAATTTTTCCCTTCGAATTGTGGGAAAAAATCAGCAATAATGACATATTGTTTTGTTTTATGCTTTTTTATCCCAATTTTTTTGAACTTATAAAATATTCAAATTTACAATCTAAACTTATAAATATTAGACTAAAACTAATATTGGTTTTTCCGGTTTTTATCAACTGATGCTAACATTGATAAAAAAAAGATAAAGCAGCAAATTGCGAAATTCGAGTAAGAAATATCATTTGAATACAACGTTGAGTCTGTTAAAAATAACGATTGACTAAAATTGTCAATTTTGGTTTTGGTCTACTTATAAATCTATTATAACATTTTAGCAGCAATTTTGGTAAAAATTCTTGGGGTTGAGAGTTATTTACAAGAGACTGCTACTAGCATTAATTAACTATTTCCTAATATTTCTAAAATTTTGTTTCCACAATTATTAAAATAAATTAATCCGGCCATTTATTTCAGCAAATAATTTTTATAACTTTTCCAAAAATATTATAAATTTTTAAAAATTTTAAATGTTAAAAATATTATAAATACTGAAACACCGCTTTAAGAGATGATTCTACATCGAGTCGTGGTGTGGTTCGTCTTGCAGTGGTGGAAAAGATACAATGGTTCTTAGTCGGGTAGCATTGGATCCGCTAGTGTTTCAGGGTGATACTAGACTAAATCATTGTATTTGAGTGAAAATTGTCGAGGTCAAATGAATTGTAATATCGATTTGGTAAATGGATAGTTGTTGTTGAGCAAAAAAAAAAAAAAAACAGTTTTAAAGAAATGTCCATTTTCGTGTACCCCTTTCAAAAAAGATGTCTTTCATTTATCCATATTCCATAATACATTTTTTAGTCGCTGTTTGTTGGTGTCGCTAGAAAATATAGCGACTATCATTGTAGCCACTGCCGACTACTTTATAGACGAAAGGGTGTTACTCCCTGCATTCTTGCGCGTCAAGTAAACTATATTTTCCGTCGCAGGTCGCTGATTTAGAGATTGGAAAAAGAACATACCCATAGTCAATTTTAAACTTTTGAAGTTTAAAATTTTATAATTAATTAAAAATAATAATAACACAAACATATTATATTACGGAACGGGTTGTAAACGGGATGCGTTTGAATCAATATCATTAATCTCGCATTTCAATATGGCTAAAATCTTCATTTTACTTTTTAACAACACTAATATAAACCATGTATAGTCAAAATTATTTAATACAATTCATTATAATGCAATCTTAATAATTATTAAATAAACGCCAATAAAATCTGTAAATTTTAAAATATATGAATCAAAAAAAATGTTTACCATGCGATATACCGCCCATTATTCAGACTCGATTTGCCACAATTTTAATATGACACACTATAAACTCATTATTCGGTGGATTTTATTTCTATTATTACCAAATTCACAAAAATATGTCTTATTAACATATCATTACTTTGCGAGTTAAAAAACCAGAAAAAAATCTAAACTATAAAATCTCAAACTATAGTCAATCCATATAAAATAAAGAAAAATAGACAAAATCCACAATTTCATAATATTTTGAAAATATCGTCGTGTACCACGTGTTAAAACCTACTTTATATTGAAAATTAGAACATTTTTATCACATCGGGTAAAAATTGACCGGATCATTCACTAGATGCGGATATAAAAAACATTCGAAAAATTATTTGGGTTAATTTGGCCATGTACCCACTTTAACTAATCTTCGTTGTGGTAATTATTTGTTATTATTGTTTTGGTTAGTGGATATATTTGTTGTGGAAGTACTAGAGATGTTGTTACCCCGTAAAACTAGCAAAAGAAATAAATATTGAATGAGATTAGTTTCTTTTGTGGATAATGATACCAATTAAAAAAATATATCTCCTTTTGATGTTATATAAGAATCTCTCAATAAACCTAGCTCTAGTCAACTTTTATGATCAGAAAAAGTACAACTTGGGAATCAAGGCAGAACTCAATGGCGACTTCTCATGCAGTGATGGGTGTGATCAGATCAGTCATGCCTGCGTTTCGCAATAGCAACGATAAAGTAGCTTTCGTAGTTCATGCTTCTTTCGTCGTTTCCGGTTACGTCCTCACTGCCACCGGACGTCCTGCCTTTGCCCACGACGCTCTCTCGTCATCGACCACTCAGAGTTAGTATTATACTTTCGTTTTTAGGGTTTTGTTTAGGGTTTTGTTTTTGGTTTTGTGCAAATAAACCTTCCAAGTCGCCATTTTTTGCAATTTTACCGTTCAAACCCAGAAAATGCAAATTAAATAATACGCAATATAACCTATTACTATCATGTTTTTAAAAGTTTTAGAAATAATATAGCAAATCGAAGCCCTCGTGACTAGAAATTCAAATATATCTTTAGAATTTTTAAAAATAAATGTATGTGATGGTAAAATCATTTAGAAAAATAAATTTATCTGGTATAAGGGCTATATTGCGTGTTATTTTCACTTAGATTGTTTTGCATTTTTGGGATATGGAGGGTAAAATTGCAAAATTTGACAGGAAGGTTTTATTTGCACAAAACCCTTTTGTTTTTGTTTTGGTATATACTATTTGGACCTAGGGTTTAGGATTCTGATTTTGTTCTATTCTTGATTTCTCTAGGTTTGGTTGGGATTGAAGGGTGGAATGAATTCAATGAGGAGTATGCATTTGTTTATAAAGAACCGATGAAAGGATCAAAGAATAAAGTGAAGAAAGTTTTGGTTAAGTGTTTAGTGATGAATGATAAACTTCTTGTTGTTGCCATAGCTGATGATGCAAAAGAACCTGCCCATCTCCAAATAGAGTATGTCATGGTTTCTCTTTATCTTTTGCTTGAATCTCAAGGTACTGAAACTTTCTTTTTTATTGCAGAGTTGGGAATTATACTAATGAGTCTAAAGAGGAGAGGGATTACAATGCACAATTCAAGAATTTGGGGAAGTTAGTGACTGATTTGAAGAGTGAGATTCTCTATAAGCTAAAACATGTTTCTTCTACAACTAAGTCAAGATTTGAGACAGATGAAGAGCTTAGAGATTACATTGATCCATTCGGTTATCCGATTGACACAACAATGTTTGGAGCTCCTCAGAATATGCCTGATCATGTTGAGCCAAGTCATCTGATACAACCACAACTTGGTTATCAGGGTGTGCCACTTCGTCCTTATACCCCAGTCGTTATTCCTGATTACAATACATACCCTCCTGTGTATTATTATTATTATTGTTGAAGAAACAGAAGAAATTTTTATGGTTTGTTTTTGCTTTTGAAAATTAACTTTTAATATGAGTTTAGGGAAAGTTTTATTGATCATAGAAGTAAAGTTTTAATAAATCAATTGGCTGGAAAAGGCAACAAATGGTGTAGGACATGATGGTGTGCCTCTTAGACAACAATTTGGTGGCAATGCAGCTTGAAAGCTCATTAGAATCTCAAGTTCCTGATGATATGATACCGGCACCATCGATATATTGCGAATTGCAATGAGATCATGAAAGCATATATATTAGCACAGTTGATCAATCAGCTTTCAAATAGCAAATTTCACCTTAATTTCCATTTGCAATGAATTTGTACAAGAACGCTCTAGTTCAAGTGCATTAACCAACGAGCAAAAATCACTCTGTACCATTACAATATCCATTTCAAGAGGAATAACTTTGTCAATGCTGAAGCTTCTTCAATCATTCTTTGGCATTGAGCTTCTCCAAGAGGATCTTGTTCAGTAAACCTGGGTTTGCCTTGCCTTTTGACATTTTCATAATCTGAACAAAGCATTTAAGAGTTTGAATTGATTCACAAGGTACAAGTTTTCAATAAAAAATGTGGATCGTAGTTGCCATACCTGGCCAGCAAAATAGCCTTGAAGCTTGGTTTTCCCACTGCGGTATTGCTCAAGCTGCTTCGGGTTCTCGGAGACTACCTTAATAACCATTTTCTCAATCTCTGCAGGATCGGTTATCTGCAGCGTGTGTCACACATGAGCAAAAATCATTCATGATTGTCTTTGCAATAGGGTAGCCAACTCGTTTCGGATTGCTACTTTATTTAACTACCCATAGCAACATTTCTTAGCTATTCTTAAGAACCATGAAGATATACTACTTACGTTCTTATGGACTTTATCAACCTACCCCATCAAGCAAATAGACCTATGCAATGAACCACTACATTATGTTTTTAGTCTTACATATTTCATGAATGAAGCTTCAAGATACCCGTTTCTTCAATCAGAAAAGGGCTGAGGATAGTGAAAAATGTATTTCTCTAGATTTAACTCTTTTATGGGAATAGTATGGACTTGCCTGAACCAAATCTTTTTCCTTTATCATTCCTTTGACGGTTCCACCTTTGGCCAATAGCTCAAACAGTATCTGCAAAAAAGGAATAACTTGCATTGATCTAAACAAAAGATGATAAAAAATTTAAACTGAATTGAACTGACCTCCTTTCCAATCTTTCCGCTAATTGTTCCATCTTTGATGGCAGCTATCAGCTCAGCCAACTCTTGGGGAGTGAGTTTCATATCATTGATAGAAAGTTTCTCATTTTTCAAGTAAGCAGCAATATCTCCCATTATCCAATTTGCTGCCAACTTCACTTCAGCACCCTTACCGATGACTGCTTCAAAATATTCTGCAACCTAAGAGCCATTCATTCCAACAACAGTTTACTCGTCTTGCTATTATACAACGTCTTGCTATTATACAAAAACAAAAATCAATATCGCACCAAATTGATCAGAAAGTTTACTCTTTTCCTCTCAGCATTTTGTGAAGATAACATGGGTAGGTTAGGCTCATTATGAAACTAAAATATGATCAACATTGAGACAATAAGACTTACAGTGACGTCATTTGCGAGGAAAAGCACATCTTGCATGCTTAGACCCATGGCCTCATACCTCCTGCGCTTTGCTTCAGGAAGTTCTGGTAAAGAAGCGCGGATGCTATCAACGTATTCTTGGGTAAGGATAACTTCTGGAAGATCTGGTTCTGGAAAGTACCGGTAATCAGCAAGCCCTTCCTTTTTCCTCATTGTTACTGTTTTCTGAACACCTACTCAAGTTAGTTGCTGACTTGCTGGTGGATATGAAAAAAACAGATATGGATATAGCAACCTAATTAACTTAGAACCTGAGCGCCTTCTTCCCAAAGCCGAGTCTCTGTAACAATCTGGTCGGCTTTTCCCTGATTGTAAAGAAGTGCCTGTCTTGATATTTCGTAGTCAATAGCCCTGCTAATTGCTGAAAATGCATTCAAATTCTTTATTTCCACCTGTAACTCGAATCAGCAACCAGATGAAATGAAAATGCAATGAGTTAATCATCCCTTTCACTCGTTTAACTCAGAATCTACAAATGACAAACAAAGGAATAAAGAAAGAAACTTCTTAACCTTGGTCCCAAACTCAGCTTGCCCAATGGGACGGATTGAGATATTAACATCACACCGAAGAGAGCCTTCTTGCATATTCCCATTACTAACTCCCAAATACCTCGCAATCCGTTGCATTTCACAAGCGTATTCAGCAGCTTCTACACCACTCCTCATATCAGGTTCAGAAACAATCTCAAGTAAAGGAACCCCTGCTCTATTCAGATCCACCTGCACCACACAATAACCACACATAAGAAACAAACACAACTTGCAGGGTCTACTACTATAACAACCCCTGAAACCTAAAACCCTTGCAAGAATCTAACAAACCCATGCCTGAGAGTAATCTCCAGTATCTGAATGAATTGACTTGCCAGCATCTTCTTCCATATGAACTCTAGTGATACCAAATCTCCTATGACCACCACCAAACTCAAGTGGAATATCCAAATCCACATAGCCACCAGATGCAATAGGGATATCAAACTGAGAAATCTGATAACCTTTAGGAAGATCTGGATAAAAATACTGCTTCCTATCGAACTTAGACTTGAGAGACAAATCACAATTCAAAGCTAAACCCAATCTAACACCAAATTCAACAACTTTTGAATTCAAAACAGGCAAAGCACCAGGCAAACCCATACAAACAGGACAAATACTTGTGTTTGGATACGACCCGTAATTGTTAGAGCAACTACAAAACGCCTTTGTTGATGTAGAAAGCTGAACATGAGTCTCTATCCCAATTACAGCTTCGTAATCTTTCAAAATCTCATCAAGTTTGTTGCTTTTGTGGTTTTTTGGTGCGACCCTTGATTGAGAAGACTGTTTAGCTTCATGGGTCGTCGTCGTTGTTTGGCTTCCACAACACCTCACGGAGACGACGTTACTCCTTCTTCTAAACAAGGTAGTTCCAAGAAGTGTGAACTGGTTTAGCTGAATTGTTCTGAACAATGTGGTAGACATGTTTTAAGGAATCAGAAATGGAGAAATTCAGATTAAAAGCAGACAGAACCTGCTTGCTTCTCACCGGAATCGTATCGGAGAAGAGCCGTCGCCTTATCTTTTCATCAAGGTGTTTTGTTATTGGGCCCCATATGTCTTATTGGGCTTAGTTGAGTTATTGGGCCTCGTATGTCTTATTGAAGCCAAATATAAATTGGACTGCTCTGTTGTTTAGTTTAGTTGTGTTTAGACCTTTAGCCATTAAAATTGTTTGATAATGTAACATTGTACTCTGTTTCGAAAGGGGAAAATGGTCAATAAATACATGAACCGAGTTACTTTGGCCAATTAAACCATCAACATCTATGCAGGCCATTTAAATCTTATATAGATATTGACTTACCATTTAAAACATGAAACAAAGTTGATCAAACCAAAAAAAACATGTGTAAGTCCGATTACAGAACAATTAACAGGTGTTAGTTAAGCGTTAATCTTTGTATCATCTTGGACTGGCTTAATATTTATAATTTAATTGTATATGAAAGTTTTATAGAATATGATTCTTTACATTTAAAAAAACTACTTTGGAAAAAAATTACGTATACAAAATATACTCACACACAAAAAAAAAAGACCTTACAACCTTTTTTTTTTTTGGTCAAACAACCTTACAACCTTTATTTTAAAAAATAATTACATAAAAAACCACCAATTATAATCGAATACAAATGCTTTAATATATTATGCAAACGTTGTGCATACATTTATTGCTTTATCGATTGAGTAATATATGTCCGTTTTCAAAAAACAAATTGCAGAATATGCAGAAAAAAATTATATTTTTTATTAGACATATGTTTTGTGTAATAATATAAATTAAAAAAATGCAAATATTATAAAATAAAAGGTTCTAATCAAAAATAGATTTTAGTACAAAATCTACTTCAAAAATGTATATATAGATTAAAATAATAGTAGTGCTTAACAACAAATAGTTTAATTTAACACCATTAAAATTTATTTACAAAACACAATACAAAATAACGGTATATAATATCACCAACTTAATTAATTACTATATACAATAAACAAAACATATTAAAAGTAAAATATTATTACTCAACAAAATTAAAAAACACAGACCCGCGGTGTACCGCGGTTCAAACCTAGTTAACAGGTGTTAGTTAAGCGTTAATTTTTGTATCATCTTGGACTGGCCTAATATTTATAATTTATTTGTATATGAAAGTTTTATAGATAAATGAATATTATTAAAAAAATTCTTTGGAACCTATGATTGTAATGATATTTTAAAGTAATTTAATACCTCTATCTTTGGAAACAGAAAATATACATCTCTGTATATAAATCTGATTAATGATTATTGGAATATTGCAGTAAAATGAAATACATTTCAAAATTGAGATCAATCTTTTTGTACGGGTATTAAATATTTTGAGCTAATTTTGTATATGACCCATCACTCAGTAAAAAACATGGTACAACTAGGCATGTCAATTAGGGCTAAAGCCCGCGGGCTAGTTTGGGCCGGCCCTGAAAAACATCGTGCTCGGGCTTAAATATATATGTCCAGAAAAAACTGGGCATTTTGGGCTAAACCCATTCGGGGTAAAGAGTTTTTTGGGCTTAGTCCGGTCGGGCTCGGGCCGGCCCGAAAAGCCCTTAAAAAAATATATTTTGAATTTTTTTAATATTTTAGTTTGATTAAAAGATTTGATTAATGTTATAGTTTTCATATTTACTTACTAGCCTTACTTATTACTTTTAAAATCTTTATCTATAATATTTTCTCTTATTGATATATGTCAGAACTGAACAAAGCTAAAACCAAATATATATAAGTATCATGTTTTTGAAATCATCAAAATACTAGGTTCGGACCCGCGCTATAGCGCGGGGGAAAGAATTACGTATATATAATTTTTAACGGATTAGAATATGTTACATTTTAATTTAATTGCAATGCGGTCGATTACGGTAAATCATATATTTGTATAATAAGTTTAAATAAAATAATAAAAGAAATAATCATATATTGAGTTTTGATAGAGTAAAAAACACGAAGAAAATTTAAGAGCACGAAATAATATTTATCGATAAATCATTCAATTTGACCATTTTTGTAATAGAATTAAGAATATACTTAAAAATACATACTTACAATATATTTTTTGAAGGACCAACCCGTAACAGAATTCATTTCGTAAAAAACATTATTCATGACTCGTTTTACCATTATAATTGTGATTTTAACAAACAACCTGTGGACTATCTAAAATTTGCATAGTTTGAAATATAATATATTTTATCAAAAAAATTATGTCTCCAAAATTACATCTAT